GAGAAGAAATAATAACTTTAAATTCTCTATAACTAAATTAATAATTCGCTTCGAGAGTACTCATTAATCTAGTATAGTCTAAAATTTAGTATTTAATTTTTTATATTTTTATTCGGCTTGATTCAAATTTTGTATTATAATAGTAAAAATTAATTTAAAGTCTTTAAAAATAAGAATATAATATTTTTATACTAAAGATATAAATATCAATAAGAATATTTTTCTATATTCGAGAACTTGAACTACTATAATCCGCATGATATCAAAGACTACTCGTAAAGGCAGTAACAATTTGTAAAACATTCAACTCAATCAAAACATATTAAATTTAGAATATCTCAAGAAATGAGTGAGTATCATCGACTTCGAGTTCCTCATTCTTAAACTCCTATACAGCTGCTCCTATCAATATGAAACTTCTATGTTTCGTATCCTATTAAACAATGCACCATTAAACAAAAATTGAAGAAGAGAAAGAAAAGAAGTGAAAAGACATTACAGATCTGGAGGTATGAAGATTATTAAAGGGACATCCTCCAAAGTACCCCGATTTGGAATATATGTGCATACTCATACTATATAGAGAATTGCTCAAGTGTCATGGGGAATTTTAAAAGGTAGAGATTGCGAACCCCCAATCCGAATAACTGAGCTCAAATCAGAGGGAGCCGGATATCAATCTAGACTGCGATGGATCTATAAAAATCGCAAGATGAAGGAGAAATTCGTTCAAAGATACTCGAGTAGTATATCGGTAAACAACTTTGACTACACCAAATGATAGTAAAGAGTATTTATACTCGTACACTTGATCGAGAACATTTCTCATCCTCGAGCACAACCATCCGTTCAAAAAACCAGTAGATAAATTCCAAAGCATTGTCAACATAGATATGTATACTCGATGATATCAAAATCAACTAGCGATGCGACATTGTCTTTCCTGTCCAACGTTCCACCACCTCAAAATCACCTTACCTAAGATCATACGTTTTCTTTCAGCCACCCACGGATTACAGGCCCTACCGCTATTTCTTTTTGTTGCACGTCTCTCGACATGGGATATGTCCAAAATACGGCACATTTGGTATGGGCAATTGGCATCGTGTTTAGGGATTGGCATACCGGTAAGATGATTTATGACTGGAGAAATTGTCTTGGAATGGTTAATGTGATTCTGTTGCATGTCTGTGAAGTTTATTTATGGTGTTGGCGTCCGAATTTGGCTGAATGTTATGTGGTTGATTATTGTTGATTGTTGGAAAAAGGGGAAAGTTGTGAGCGTCGATGAAGGGGGACGAAGAAGGTGATCTTCGAGATCGTGAGTGTTGTGTGGATGGAAAAGACGAGAAAATGGTGGACGTGCATTGATCGAAATTGTGAGTGAGTACTACTTGGTATGCTTCGCCACATCTCGGGACCGAATATCCGTATCGGTCCCGAAAATTGATGAAAGCAACCAATTATGAGTTCACGGAAGTTAAAAGGACTCCGAGTGACTCTTTGTTGAGTCACCTTTCACATGCTTGAGTCACACTAGAAGCATTCGCATCACACTTGTGGAGATAACAACAAGAGCGTACGCCACACATCAATGATGTCTGCTTGTCTGACGCGCGGCGGCTTGACCTCAATCACCAATCATAGTTCTCCAGGTTGTTCTGAGGCACTCTTAGCATTTTGGTGTGGGAGGCGTAGGTATCTTGCTGGCTGAAAATAGGCGGTTTGTGTTTCATTACGTTTTCGCCTCCCCGCTAGTTTTGGTGTCGAGTTTACGCGGTTGTTGCTTGCCTTAGAGTCTGGTGGCGGAGGAAAGTATACATTCCTTGACATCTACCCTCGTTTGTTTATCTCTTTATCCTACATCATCATCATCATTATCAATTCATCATGGAATTCAATAACCAAAACAACAATCAACAAGCAGGTCCCTTCTGGGATTTCGTTCGCTCAATGCAACCACAAAACTCCAGAGCTGGTGTCGACCATCTTTCGCAAGAGTTTAATATGTGGGGTACACCAGGAGGACCTCATGGACATCAAGCTTCTAGAGGTGACCCTGATCCTTATGAATTCGGTCCATTCGGTCCATTTTGTAGAGGTGGTTCTGGACCAAGAGGAGGTCGTCGAGGTCGTCGCTCTTTCTATCCACGCAGACATGAAGAACATACCGATGGAGAACGCAGGGAAGAATTCAGAGAAAATCGGCATCACGGTAGAGGCAAACATGGCCGTAGAGGTGGAGAAGAATCTGGCGAGGAAACTCCGACTTCTGATACTGAAGCTAGAGAGGGCTCTCCAAAGCCATATCGCGGCCCTCGAGGTTGCAGAGGCAAAAAGGGACATTGCCGCAGAGATGGAGAGTTTTCCGGTGCAGAATCATCAGATGTTGAGGCAAGAGAAGGCTCGCAGGGTCCAGAATCGCGTCGTGGACCTAAATATCATGGACGTCATGGGCCAGGTAGCAGAGGAGGATGGGGTGTTCGAGGAGGAGGTCCAGGTGGTCCATTCGATTTCAGTGCAATGATCCAAGCACTATCTTCTCACCCGATTGCACAGGCATTTGGTGTACCACAAGCTCAGCGCTCTGGCGAAACACTCGTTCCCGAGGATGCTGACACAGAAAATTCCTTCGTACCCCCCATTGATGTTTTCACGACCGAAGATGCCTATGTCCTCCATATCGCACTCCCTGGTGCGAAGAAGGAAGATGTAGGTGTACACTGGGATGCTGAAAAAGGAATGTTGAACATGGCAGGCGTAGTATACAGACAAGGAGATGAGAAATTCTTGGAGAGTCTCACCAAGAAGGAGAGAAAGGTGGGTGCTTTTGAGCGCACCATGAAATTGCCTCTCAGCGCTGAGGATAAATCTGAAATCGACGGTGACAATATCACCGCAAAATTGGAGGATGGTGTCTTGGTCGTCGACGTACCAAAGGTGAAGAAAGAAGAGTCTTGGACCGAGGTGAAGAGAGTCGATATCAATTGACTAAATCTGGATAATATTATAGGGTCTTTTCGGGTCAGCTAGGAGGTTTGAATTTACGTCGTCCTCATTTCGGGGTTTTCCTATTTCTTAATGGTTAGGGTTTGAGTTTCGTCATCGGTATATTTATTTAGTATAGTTACCAAAAAGGTCTTCCATGACCCAAAAAAATACCCAAAAATGCCACTCGGCAATATTCAACATCTTACATTTCCCACTGGATTGAGAGAAAATTGTGACTTGGATGATCTTCCAGCATTGTGGAATTGAAGTTCGACTCGAAGTAAACTGCCAAACATCATACTCTAAGTAAAGAGTCCCCAATGTCTTGAGTTGTTCGTGACAATGTAATACTTGAAGTGAGAGGAAGAAAAGATGGGGGGAGGCATCATACAGGTGAATGGTTTATGCTGAAAATGAGTGAGAATAAACAAACATGTATCTATACACAGTGCTATATTCGACATGTTGAAGAATCAAAGAGTTGATGGTTAATGATAAGAATGTTTTTTGTCGAAGAAGTTTGTGATGTGTGTATCGTGATTGAAGTAAAGTTTGGAGTCTGAGATAATAAGGATTAGTAGGTAGTCCTCAGAAGGAAGTATGATTTGCGAGAATGGGAAGGAGCATGTATACTTCTCGATGAGGGGTAGTGAGAGACAATAGAAATTTATATTGCATTCTACTCGAGTATAGGTATCCATCATACATGTATCGGTTCCTCTTCTACTCGCCATTGTTGGACATTGTGAAGTTCAATCAATTCCACAAAATTCCATTTCAACAGCTTTGAAGGAATGGAATAGCACTTTCAGTACCCAAAGATAATTGCTGGAACGAGGAATAATTGGGATGAAATAATACCTTGAGGGAGCACTTTAGTTGGATATTAATGACTTCAAACTACTAGGTATCGTGCACCTCCAGAAGATGATTCTTCCTTACTCGAGTACATTCAACCCTGATCTTTAAGGAAGATAGTATAAAAAGTATTGATGGATTATTGTTGACCTGTGAAACCTGCCTTTGATGTATTAACTATATCTTTTGGTAATCTTACAAAAAAGTTTCAATTTTTACCATCCGTGAAATCCTGACCCGTCCACCCAACCGTCCATCCATCCATCCATCCTTCCTTTAAACACCAGCTGACAACTCTTGCAATCCTCTCGCGGCTTCTTGCTCTGCCTTTGATAACTTTCTCCTCGAAAGTCTGGCATCATGTTCCGGATCATCCAGAGACTTCCGTTTGTTTTGCTCGGGTGGATTTGGTAGATTTATTGCATTTGTTGCAGTGGGAGGTGGGAGAGCTTGAGCAGTTACTGACAAAACCAAGTGATCGATGAAGTTACGTAATTGATCGAAACGTTTTGATTCCTCGTCCGTTTGAATGCATGCTGGTATTGGAAATTGTGATTCAGATGCGTTGATAGCTTCATTTTGTAAGTTTTGGACTCAAGAAGTAGAGAAAAGAGAAAGTAAAATATGAAAGACATAGGTACCTCTTTTAACGGTATCTTGGATTAATTGGTGACCACTATTGCCTGGAAATGCCTGTAGACACTTTTGAAGTGCGGCATTGAGCTGTCACAGTGATGTTAGAACCACGAGAAAAATCAAATTGGATGAAAACAACATAAGGAAGTCTTACTTACATCTTTGATACTTTCATCCTGTTCGTTATTCATCTTTATTCACTTCAATACCACAATTGACATTGACTCTTTCACAAAGTGAAAAAGAAAAGTCATTGATTTTTTGGTTTCAGTAATGAAGTAAAAGTAAGTTGAAATGGAAATGAAGTCAAGTTCAAGTTCAAGTTCAAGTAAGCAAGTAAGTACCTTACCTAGTAGTTTTAGTAAGTACCCTTTCACATGATGAGGAGCTTTTCAATCAGTCAGCCAAGTTCGTTCTACAGCCAAAAGGAAAAAAATCGAAAATTGTGGCTTGAAATCTAAACAAAAGATAAATAACGCCACATGTGGCGTATACTCTATTCTACCTAAGATACTCCGGTTTCCCCCACAACCACCGACCTACCGCCTTCTCTTCTTATTTTCAACTTTCCCTTATCGACTTTTCATCAAAGCATCAAGCGTACGAGTACAAGGAATTATAGTAACATCAAAGGTAACTACCAACCAACCCTTAGGCACACTCAGTCATCTATTCCCCCTCATCACATCTCATCAACCTCATCCTCGACTTGAAGTCATCCGTGAGCTTTTACAAAGTACGAAGATATTTCTGGATAGATAGGAGAGTGGTGTTTTGGTTACACGGTTCTACGTCATTATCATCTCACTGTGTGCCAAGCATATCAACATCCTAAGTTGACCACTTTAAAGTATCTTCTTTGAGGAAATATCAAGAAACGTTTGAGACCAACAAAGCCGTCTCATTTCCATTTCTCTCTAATTGCTTCGCATTCTCATAACCTGTCAGCACAAGCAGAAAAGAAAAACAGAAATCATGTCAGATGAACTCGATTATCTCCAGCCAGGCTTCGATCCCTCTTCCCTCACGATCCCCCGAATCCGCTCTATACTAGTCACACATAGTATCGAATATTCATCTAACGCAAAGAAAGCGCAACTCGTCGATACATTCAATCGGGAATTAGTACCGCATGCACGAAAGATATTGCATGAGAGAGCGCGTGCGAAGAGAACAAGCCGAGGAATCATCGATGTGGAATCGTCACAAGAGAGTAGCACTCAGGAAAGTACAACGGAGAGTACACAGGAAAGCGATGTGATTCTACCGCCACCGAGAACGCGACCTGTGAGGCAAACGCCTGCAAAGGTTAAAGCATCAGTGGACGTAATTGATGATGAACCAGCGATAGCTAGAAGCACTAGGAGATCAACCAGATCCATCAGCCCGGTAAAGAGAATGCCTAGAGCTATCAGCCCTGTGAGAAAGACACCGAAACCAAGCAGCAAACATCCTAGGCAGGAGGAGGAGGCTGGCTCGGATGATGAAGAAACTGTGAGAAAATCAAGAAAAAGCAAAACAGTCCAAACGCCAATGGTTGGAGCGAGAGATAGTTTAGACGCAGTCGCGCGGACAAAGGACCCGCGAAGAGAGAGCAATTTCACTTACGACAATCCCTTTCAGAGAGGCTCGCCGCAATCCGACAATAAAAGACCTATATCGAGCCACGATAATAAGAGGAAAAGCTTAGGTCGTAGTGCTGCTAAAGAGATGGAAAAACTGATGACCACGGCTTCGAGAAGACGCATGGTAACTCCACAAGCTAATGTTGGAATACGTCCACCAACTTCCTCAACTTTCGAAATTCCTTTTAGCAGCCTTGATGGTTCAAAGGATTATGATGATAATGGAGTGGAGATTAGTGAGGATTTCACGCCAGAAGCACAATTCGAGCTTGAGCGTGAGCAACAGAGAGGGCTCGCCACCATTCAGCCCCGAAAGAAAGCATCAAACGGCGTCAATATGAGTGGACCTTTTTGGATGATTCTTATTACACTACTGAGTGGCTATGCTGCTTGGTACAGGCAAGAGAAGATTGCTGTAGGCTTCTGCGGTGTAGGTAGAGCGGCGAATTCGATGATACCCATCAGATCAAACCTTCCGGATTGGGTGCAAGTAATCGCGGAGCCACAGTGCGATTGGTGCCCCCAGCATGCTTATTGCAATACCAACTATGAAGTTCAGTGCGACCAGGATTTTATTTTGAAGCATCATCCTCTCTCGATTGGTGGATTCCTACCCCTTCCACCGACATGTGAGCCCGATGGAGAGAAAGTGAGACGGGTTAAAGCGGTGGCAGATCGAGCCGTTGAGGAGTTAAGAGAGAGAAGAGCAAAGTGGGAGTGTGGTGACTTGGTGGATGAAGCTGGAGCATCTCAGCCGACTGTTGAGATGGATGCCGAAGAATTGAAGAAAGAAGTTGGTCAAAAGAGGAGAAGGGGGATGGGAGAGGCCGAATTTGAGGAATTATGGCTTGGTGCCATTGGAGAAATCAAGGGAAGAGATGAAGTAATTGTTGGTGCTGATGGGTAAGTTTCAATTTCCATTACTTGATTCTCATCGTCCTTTGTGCGATTACCTCTCCCTTTACTACACTATATCTTCTGACATTCGGTTCACTAATCAGGTTCAACATGCCCGTTGTAGATCAAACACCCTCACAAGTACCTCACTCGTCCGCCTCCCCCTCACTTGCGCCCTTAAACGCTCCTTCAGACACACATTGGCAAGATATTATATCGAAATTGGATCTCTAGGCCTCGCCTTCATCCTCTTTTTCTACATCCGTTCATTAATCCGCGATCGTTCAGCTACTAAGGCTGTAGTCCCTTATCTGGTTTCACTCACTCTTTCACGTCTCGCTACTCAAGCATCGCTTCACGCGCAAGACGAAGATGCAATAAAGGAGAGTTGGATTAGTATAGGTCAGCTAAGGGATGATGTATTGCGCGATGAACATAGTTTGAACAAGCGAGAGCAAATCTGGACGAGAGTGAAAAAAGTGGTTGAAATGAATGCGAATGTTAGAGCAATGCAACGGGAGAGTCAAAAGGGAGAGATCTCAAGAGTTTGGGAATGGATTGGGGCGTTGGAGGGTATGGAAAATAGTGTTAGGAAGAGGAAAGGTGAGAGCGAGACGACTCCGTTAAGTGATAGAGATGATGTGGATAAGAATAAGGATGAGGATGGGGATGGGGTTCCCGAGGCTATCATAAGGCTCAAGTGGCAGAAATCGGGGTTGAAACCTGTTTATTAGGGTCTTATTTTATGCAGGCAGGCAAACTACTGGCGTACATTTTCAATTCAAAAAACTTGTACTCTTTTTATGCAAACAACACTTTTCAGGAGTAAGTTTAGGGTAGTGAGCAGAGCACTGAGTAGCGTGGATTATGACGATGATGATGAATGATGGATGAGGTGACGCGGTGATGAGAAAGGATGGATAGCTAGATGGACGTTTTCTATTCTAGGTGTGTAATGATATTTATATTTATATTTAATACCTGGCTACTGGCTATGAAATGATATTTACAATTGTTCAATTGTTCCGTTCCTTCTTTCCTTCTTTCTTTCAGTCCTTCGGTCTTTCGAGCAAGCTAACAAGTGAGCAAGTTAGCAAGTGGGGTGGGGAGTGGGGTTTACATATATATAAGGGGCTTCAATATCTGTTTCAAACTGTTATTCTACTTTTATTGAAAGTACTAGTGTACTAGTGTATTCAAGGACTTCAAGACACGAAGTAATAAGTAATATATATTGTATCCGTAACTGTCACGGTGGAATTCGTTGTTATATCGGGTATATATGCTATATGCTATATGAGTAATAGATGTATGTAGTAGATGTAATATAATATAGAGTACTATACGGTATAGTACTAATAAATGAAGAGTTAAGAAGTTAACTCGAGTATACTCGAGTATATACGAGTAAGGGAGTTGTTAACAGTTTATTATTTTATGTTGTTCTATTGTATAATATTGAAGAAGATCTGGGATACAAATGATTATATAACTATAATTATATGACCGATCTACTACCAATACTCTTTTTCTAAATCTACTCGAGTACGAGGAGAAGTCTACAGTACTAGTATTCAGGAATGAAAAGAACACCTATGTGATTTTGATTTTAAGATGAAAGATTATACGATTGAGATTGAAAGAGTATTTGATCAATCTTGGGTTTAGGTTTAGGTTTAGTGTTAGGATTAGGATTAGTTTTACTGTAGTATACTGAAAATAATCACAATACAACTACTACTGAGTAGGAACTCCTCCCCCGTATGTGATTTCAATATTATAGTATACAGTAAGTACTCGAGTATATCTAAACGATTACTCTAGAGGTGTCCATACTATATTCGGGGTATAGTCTCAGAAATTCAATAGAAAAAGAACCATCGGTTCTCTACTGTGTCTTGTGCATATCTATATCATAATACCCTTATATACATTCATTCCATATAATCATAATCAATTAACATAGATAACATAACATAACACAATATAACATTAAACCCAACCCGGACTCCTCGGACTCATCAAAACCCCCTCATTCACACTCCTCGCACTACTCTTCCTACTCTTCTGATCCAGATCCAAGCCCGGCGACAAATCATCTCCCAAATGATCATAACTCGATTTCTGCTCCAGCTCCATCTCCATCTCCCGCTCCTTTGTGCTTAGCCTACCCACCATTTCCGCACCATCCTCTTCATCGATTTCTCTATCCTCACCCCCACCCGCCGTCCCTAATCTACTCACCAATTCCGTTCCATCTTCTTCCTCATCAATCTCTCGATCGAAAGCCATTCCCCTATGATTCGACACCACATCAAACGTCTTCTTCATCGTGATACCCGGTCCTGCCGCATACGAACTCCTGTTCGGGTACGAGGTCCGCGAGCTAAGTTTGGGGACGCTGGGTCGTCTTTTGCTCGGGTCGTAGCCTGCGGATTTCGAGTGGTTGGATGAGTTGTTGGTGGAGCCGGACATGCGTGGGAAGATGCGGACGAGGAGGAGGCGCATTGCCGGCATGCTGGAACAGATTATGCCCACGCATATCTCGATTGTGGACCAGTATCCTACTTGCACGTAATCCCCTTGATTGATGAATTAGAAATGGGATCTTTTAGTACGGGAGAGGGGGTAAACTTACATGTTGGGTTTTGAGTATTGGAAAAGAGAATAAGCGATTTGAGACGAAGGATACTGACGATAGTGACACTTTGGGTAAGATTAGCATATTGGTGTCAATGATATAATAGGGCATGCTTACATTATACCGATACCCAACATGGATGCCACTCCAATCTTCTTTTTCCAATGCAAGTTGAGGTCGTAGAGTTGCGTCATTGGAAGAATCAACATCCAGATATCCATAACAATACTAACACCCGCACTTGTAAATCCCAATGCATTGATATTCAGACATACTCCCGCATGCTCGTTATCCCATCTTGTCCAGTAAAAACTAATTGGACGGCACTGGAAGGCGGCAAGCACGTCGAATACTATGAGTATCATGCCATTGACGACGATAGTAGCCCAGATCGTCCGGCGAATCTTGCGTTTGGGAAAGAGGCGAAGGAAGAATAGGAGGATCGAAATCTTGACAAAGCTAACTTGAGCAAAGTATAGGAGCTCGATTGCATAGAAGAACTGAAGATTGTCAGTCTCGAACGGTGATAAACTGTGAGTTCCAAGTAATGCAAGTACTTACACGAATCATGTTACTGATACTCTGGAAAGTCAAAGTCCAAATATCTTTTCCTAGTCCATTGGTGGTAACTGCCTTTCGATAAGTATATGTATATGAAATAGAAGACTTAGACTGCAGGGAAACTTACGGCCTTGAACGTTGATGACGGCACTTGGTATACCAGCAATCTACAGTTCAATTAGCGATGCCCATGAGATCCAGTTATATCGTACTAACCATAACAACAGTTGCCATATAATCATCCCACCAGAACTCTGTGTCGGAGGTGAACCTTGCAGCAATTCTCGCAACGTATGACAACCAAGAAGCAATAACGAATGAATTAGATATCCAGTTATACAACTCCCGTTTATCCCGGACCGGTGCATTGCAGGCAACGGACGTAACATTTTTGGTCGCTGGAAGTTATCAGAATTGAAGTTTATATAAAACCCTGAGGACATCACTTACTAAGTGTTTCTTTAACGGTGCAAGATCCCAATACACATTCATCCACCTGTGTATTTAGAGGAACATTTGTACAAATACATTGTTGGTCGGTGAGAGAGCATGTAGAATCTGCAATAGCTGTGGTAAGACAAGTTACCTAATGTTGATGTCAGTGAAAGTTGGAAGATGTAAGAATATCCATAACCTACTGCACACTTAGGAAGGGCTTGAATAATATCAATCAATGATAATGTTTCAGCAGCGATGCTCACTGGCAGCACAGCGCACAGTAAGGATAACCAAGCGAACAATTTCATGTTTTCTTCAAATAACGTTGATGACTGCGGCTCATGGTCCAGAATCGGTTTTACATATAGCAGTTCCCTTCACGATGGATGTCAATCTTGCATCTTCCCCATTGTCTTAAAGGTAGATCGACGCAGGAAGAGAAAGCTAAAGAGATTGACATTCGGGATAATCTTTGTTGACAAGTGTAGGATTTGCTGAAACCGGGCCGCTGGGAAGTCACTAGACCTCTAGAGTGAGTGGCAAATGGACTCGATCGAGATATAAAAGAGACGTGCAGTTAAAAAGACGTGCAGTTCATCCACTAACCTTAAACTTTGGGGTGCATCTTATCACAGGGCATGGTTTCACTAGCCTAATAGAGCATCGAAATAGAACGCCTGGGACAATTCTTTCCTGATTTGAATTGAAACATATTACGATGAACCACAGAATGGTTCTGATGAGACTCATGAGAGTTGATATTTGTTCAACTCTCAATCTTGGAACACTTCGGCAGAGAATGTCATGCAATGCATATTTCGATAGTTTTGAGTTCTGATTGGAAAATTGACTCGAAGATCAGCATGGCATGCTTTAGTCCACTGAGAAAATCTGGTGGTGGAGACAACTTTTTGGCGTGCTCGAGCAAATTTCCTTCCCGCTCGGAACCCTCGAAGTTCGAACACCAATAACAGAGTCCAGATAGAGTTGATTTTCTGCAAAGACGGGCAAACACTAGGCCATATCTCCGGAAGAGTAACCGTACAAGTCTCAATGCTAGAGCTTGCTAGAGCCTAGCCCACCTTCGTAGCGGACTCGCGTTCAGGATTAGAGCCGGTAAGTATGGGGAATAAGTGGCGTCAGTTGGTACCGATAGTCTACATACCATCATCACTCGTGGAGTTATATCGGAGTATTCTGGTAGCTGGAAAAGCTGACCAACTTGATATAAAATTATAAGCTGCAAATCCTCAAGATGAGGCCTCCTTGAGACTTGAGTCCTTGGAAGAGTCGAAGATATGTACAAGTACCGGTAGTGCTATGTCCCATCCATCGTCAATAGCCTACTCTTCCGGCATTCATCTTTCGAGTCAGCTGAAAGTCTGTGCTAAACAAAGAGGTGGGTTTTGTGATAGAAAAAAAGGGTGTGTGTGGCCTGCATACAACCATATATTGCGTTGCACCGGGCATTTTGACTTGTTTACCAGCTTCTCGTAACGTTATAAGGCGTCGAATCCACTGTCGATCAAGATAACCCAAAGTTGACATCAGAAAAGTTAATATTCTTTGCAATATCATCCATTTAGTCGATATATAGACAGTTCGTTAGTAGCTCTGGCCCTCGAGTCATAAGTTGGTGGCAGTTACAGTCGAATCTATCCTGCAAACCGGCCGGTATCATGGGTAGAAATCAAAATGAGACATCAACAAAGATCTATTGGCTCAATTTGGTTGTCGCTTTCGTCAACTTTCAGGAACAGGAACGGAACAGGAAAACAGGGTAAGAGGCGAGGATCTTCATGCATTAAAATAATCACCATCACTTAAGTGGGTAATTGTCAAGCAAGGGGGTTCTACTTTCTACTTCGTCTGGGGAGTCCTTGCCAATATAAGCAGAAAAATCAATTAATGAATTATTTTGATTTTTCACTTACTTTCATTAATTTCACTGCTTTATGCTTTTTACTCGGCTATTACTTTCAACATTACCTCTTCTGTCTCACCTTACTGTCCCTTTTTCCATATCCATCATCAGATGATACTATTCCCGAATGTATTATAGACATTTTCGGGGATATCATAAAGATCTTCACTCTCCCCTGTTGGATCGCCAATGGATCTCCAATACAATGGCGGCAGATAACATCATACCACATGGCAACGATGTTTCGACACCAAACTTTGTCACCATTACAATGATCAGTGATCACATTTATCGGTTTCGAATGTCCCCGAACACCTGAAACATCCGAGGCTTTCCATCTTTTATTGATATGAAATTCCAGTGCAGGTTGAATATTCGAGGATATCTCATCTTGTCTAAATACATATTGGAAGCGGACATCCAAATCTTGTAGCCCCGCGGTCCAATCCTCATGTATAGATAAGGCTATCAAGAGATTATAATCTCATTATAGCCTGTACACGTTGATGAACCGGTAGAATTTGGAATTGGCCTCGTCCTGTGCACACGCTGAACATTTACTCGTTCGATAGACCTTACCATTGATTGCTTCCGAATTTCATTCTGATGCGCTCAATTATCTCGGGGCAAATGGGATTTGCGAGGACAGGTAAATCTCTAATTTGTATAGATAATGGATTTTCACATTGGAGTGGATCAATTTCTACCCCGTAACTTATGAGATTATCAAGACATGGAAATTGTCATTACACTTGCCATCTACCGGTGTGCTGGGTGATCTAGTAGATCTCAATCTCAGCTGGCCCAGTGGCACATTGCGAAGTACGCTGAGCACGCACACGCTGGGCTTTTGTTATTTGATTGATGCGTTCTATTGTGCCGACTGCTCGAGTAATTCTAGGGGGATGGCTGAAATATATTGCTGCTTCCCCTTTTCGACAAATTGAGAAAAGCGGGTGACGAAGAATCGAAAATGATATACTGTATGATGGTCAGCTGTTTGAATTAGGAATTGCTTATTCATTAATGTACATTTCTTTTTCCGGTGATTCATACTTGAACCTTACCTTACCAGAGAATCTGTATAATTCAAAAATATGTTACCTACTTGAGGGAATTTTATCTTGCAAATTTCAAGTCAATGAATTTGAAAAGATTCATCGCCTAAGGAATCACGTTCATTCATTCATTCATTCATTCATGTATTCAATCACTATACCAACAGCTCTACTGCTCTACTTCTCCTAATGTCATCACTTATACAGCTTTTGTTGATATACTCGAGTACAAACGCTAGTATCTACAATAGTACCCAGTAGTCATGACCACCTTGAAAATAAAAGTAGATAAAGGTAGGTCATCCATCCATCTTACATTCTTACCCTTGATATTCCACGGAGCAGCTTCCTCCTACCTACCTACATCTACATTATTTCCATCACATTGCTTGGCGACATTTCCGTTTTACCTATTCTGATTCAAGCCATTAAATTTCACTTAACCATTCTAAATTCAATAACGAAACGCGGAATATGTAAATAAAATCTCAATTAGGCTTTCCTCCTTCTATAGCTACTCTTCGTCAATATTTACCGTGACATGCCCTGCTCCTTCGAGTTGTCTACTGACTAGAGTATTCACCGGATAATATTAGAACTAAAAGAGAGAGTAGAACTCGGCTTTGTATATCTACCGCACATATATACATGTATTCTCAATTTACTCAGTATTATCATAAATAATTCTCCCTCCCAGAACCAAATCCAATACTTCCCATCCTCATCCCTATCCCACCATCCGAATCCTCTCACTAATATGTATCCATCTAATATACCATACCATTTAATACAAAAGCTCACTTCACCAATATATAGCTATCTAGCTAGCTTCAACTTTCAACTTATCCATTCTATCCCATCCTATCCCATCCCATCCATCCTATCCCCTCCTACCAAAAACACAAAAAGCACCTACTCAGGTAATATATAACAGCAATCAAGTCAACCATATCGAGTACATCATGCAAAAACTACACATATACAGCTATTTTCAAATGGATTCTCCTTTCCATCTCCATCTACTCGAGCATCACAGGTTCACATCCCGAGCTAGCAATTATATTGCGATACATAAAGACCACCTCAAAAACCACCTCAAAAACCACCTCAAAAACCACCTGAAATCCTTCCTGAAAGTCGAATTCGAATTTTCCCCGGTGGATTCTTGCTCTTGGAACGAGTAAATATATATATAAATAAATAAGCTTTTTATACTCACTCACTCGGTACTCGAGTATATACACATATAGCCAAATCTCTGATCTCTTTCACCCCCTGTCTATTCTCCTCTTTCTCTACCTCCTTTCCCATTTCCTTTCCTAACTCCTTTCCCTTTCTCCCCTTTATCTCTTCCCCTCACTCCCCCCACCACCAGAATTCAAATCATTCAAATCATATATACAAACCTATACTTCCGGTGAGCCTTTTGTATTTACTCGTACATGTACATCATATACACAACCTTATCTACCCCCATGCCGAATCCCAACAATGTTTCTTTTCTCTCACAACAAAAAATCAAAGACATAGATCACACGCACGCACAAACTCACTCATATTACATTACATTACTTACTCAGTACATCACCTTTATCCCTCACTCACTCAAATCACTCACTCAAATCACTCCACAATCATCACATAGCCAACCATAGCCGCATCAAACATCGCAAACAAATACTGAATCAAGCCTTTATTTTCATACAATTCTTAGCTTCTCTCTCTCATCTCACCGCCCTTGAAGTTCTCCCTCTCACCCTCTCACCCTATAATTCCCCTGCATTGCTTGCTTAATCATGTCCATTCCATTCCATTCAATCTATACAATACAACAGGTACAAAGAATACAATCAAACGAACATGTCGCACTCGCTTGTTCGGTATTAACCAGTCCATCCATCCACCATGCATATCTCCCCCCCGGATGTTTCTTCTCCTATAATTCTCGGTTCTCGACCTGAGAAGTCCGAGTCATTACGTCATAAGTTATTCCTTTCCTTTCCTTCCCCTCGAGTCTTTTTCTCAATTCGCCTATCGGATCTAAGACACAGTCTTCTTGGTAGTATCCCCAGACCTAAAAAGCCATCAATTCTTCCACCTTTCCTTTCCTTTCCTTCCATTTATCTTCCCATCCATACCTCCACATTCAACCAGATACATTCCATCCCAAAAGTTCCAATTCAATGATACGAAAGCAGCAAAATAGTAATAAACTAAATAAACTAAATAAACGCCCTAAAACATATATGCGTCCCGCTCAAAATCCCACCCGTCAATCAATCAGCAAATATATGAAGCCAAACTCCCATCTCCTATCCGGCCCTATCCCTTTTAACCATATATAACCCTAGCCGTTAATGCCTATACCCAACGACCAAAAAAAGCCAAAAGAGCCCACGTGTATAAGTAGATAGCTGAACACTTCCACTATCGCAGTTGTACCTCCCAATAAAATATACTAAAGTAAAAGTAAGAGAAATGTAGTAAAAAGAATTCTGTACATGGTGTTTAGGTAAGCTATACACTGTGCTATCCTAGCCAGATTTGTCAAGTCGTATCATTCGACGGATTTTTCGTTCTGGTGGTAACAAAGATTAAGTGTGTTTTTGATTATACGACCTCAAATTCGTCTTCGGGTTCGTTTCCCACGGGATCTAAGGCTCCGTACAACGCTTTATATCTTTCTAGTTCTCGCATCTGGGCTGCAAGACCCTCCATAATGACTGCCATTGGTGCGCGTAATTGATCGAGGTCGGAGATGGCTGCTCGGCCAATTGCTAGATGACGGGTAGCGATTGCAGAGATGCATGTCTATGATATTGTTAGTGAAATTTGAGGGAAGGACCTTTTTTGGTAGGAAAAGTTACCTCAATTCTCGAGACTTGATGAGTCAGGAAATTCAGTAAGAAGCGGTCAGTTACCTCTCCACCTCTATTCCTCATCTTTTCAAGCATTGCCGTTTCAGGAGGCTGTAGAGGTATCCCAGAACCTCGAGGCTCCTCTAGACTTGAGCACAACATCTCCAACCTTAGACTGATCCTCCATAGATCCCAGACATCCTCGGTATCGATGCTCAATTCTGAATTGCGAGCAAGGGTGGCAGGCTCCTCCTCAACGACGGCTGCCTCACCTTCTATGGATCGCTGGAAGTGAATTCGGCCAGCAAGTGAATGCGGGTACATGAGGTAGATATACTCTGGATTTTCTAATCCTTTGAGCTTTCTCTCTCCCATGTCCTTGACCTCAAAACCTTGACTGCTGAGGGAGCGCAGCTCACGACGAATTGAATGACTGATGAGATCGCTATCGAAAGTATCTTCTGAGCCCGTAGATCCTGAGCGGTCGCTTTCACTATATGTCTCGAGACATCGTTGGATCTCAGAGATGAAATCTGCTGAAACAGTGATTTGGCCACCATCGGCGACGGCAGAAATACGAGCGGTTCGGTTGACCATTGGACCAAAATAGTCCATACGTCTTGTCACTGGGTCATTCTCGCACACTGGACGACCCCAATGAGCCCCCATTCTGACACTCAGACCCTTGAAAATCAAATTTTGATTGCTGTCATAAACCTCGTGTCCCATATTACTGGTTACAACTTCGGCAGGCCAGTTGACTTCAAGCAATGCTGCTTGCACAGCAAAACACCAAAGAAGGGCGGAAGTTGCAGTAGGGAACGATACCATAAAAGCATCTCCTTCTGTCTTGACCTCGTAGCCACCAATTATTCGCAATTGACGACGCATGACCTCATTGTGAAGCTTGATTGCGGATCGCATGGCGCTGGGATACGTTTCCCAGAGTGCCGTAGAGCTCTTAATATCTGTGAAAACGATACTAATGTCGCCTACAGGTGCTTGGACTTCAGCTTGTAGCCTGCGGAGCATTGAATCATCGACGTCATCGGTCTTCTTCTTAGGTCTCTTGGAAGGAACGTATCCTTCATCCACAATAAGTTGAGGATTGAAGGATAGACTTTGAACACGGTGTGGTCGTATTTGGGCACGCTTCTTTAAGTCACTGACACCCATCATCATGACCATTATCTTTCCAGAAGCGCCAAATGCTATGGCAAGATCCCGGAGTCTTTGTGCGGCTCTCATTAGATCACCACGTTCATATCTGGCGATATCAACAACAAGTTCAGGAGATAGATACTCCCAAAGCTCTTTTGAAGCAATAAGTACCATCTCATCTTGCTCCTTGATCGTGACATGCGTCACATTGGGCGAAGCTTGAACCGCTGGCATGAGTTGGACATAACCAAAAGCCCGGGAGACCTCGAGGATATCATTCAACTTTCCCTGTCTGGAGACCCAGCCCCCTGCATCTCGGATACGCTGTCTTTCGTTTGGCTCAGCTGGATCATGTTTCCGGGTCAATATCCGGTGTCCGCCTTCTGAATGAATAAGCATAGCTTGAGCATCTCCAACATTTGCAACGTAGAGCTCGGATTGTTGCAGAAACATTACGGTAGCCACGCCACCAGAGCGAAGATCTGCTTGGCTGAGAACTGCTGGTGCGGCGGAGCCTCTATGCGAAAGCAAGGATCTTTCTTCGGTATGTTGAGTTGCAGCAGTGGCAAGATCTTTATTGAGTGATAAGAAAGCGCGTCTCAGAGCATCTACGGGAGTTTCATTGTTGAGAGCGTTCAATCTTTTCAGTTCATCGCTGAAGATGTGACCAAAGTTCTCATGGAGGTATTTGGCGATCTTCGAACCTCCACTGGACAATGCCTGTCCATCAAACATACCCAATAGAGTTTCTGTCTCGGTAGAATTGAAACGTGGCACAACCATGTCAATGATGGACAAGTGATCATTTTTTCCCAAACTGTCCGCCATTCCATAAGCCAATTGGCCAGCAAGAGAGCCTGAAGTACGGACTCTTCGATCTTCAGTCTGATCAGGAATAGACGGGATGGTCAAGGTCACATCCATGAGGCCCAATATACGCAGGTGCTGCAATGCGCTGAAATCTGTGAGATCATGACCATCTCGAGCACCTCCGCTTCCTGGTAACGACGGTTTGATCTCTAGACGTTTATTGCCAGAGAGGTTGAGATATTTTAGATTAGTATTCCAATTCCAGTTCCAATCGTAAGGCCAATTTGAGACGTTGTATTTCAGAGAGTTGCTACCGCAATCCAGAACGGACAACCGATGGGCTTTCCCAAGCTCTGCAGGTAGGGTCTGGAATTTGTTGCCGTTGATGTGTAAGACTTGCAAAAGACTGAATTCTTCGAAATCATCGGAAGGGAGGGAAGTAAGCTCGTTTCCAGAGAGATAAAGCTCAACCAGCTGTGGCCAGCTCTTAATAGACCTTGACGGCATATCGTTAAGATCATTGTAGGACAGGTTAAGAACTCGCAATTCGCTGAGGAGAGTGATTTCGTCAAAAACATCGTCATCAAGTCCGTTGTCAGCCAAATGAAGACTTTTCAGAGATCCAGCGAATGTATTGACAAGTTTGGCAGATAATCCAGAGTCCTTGCGTATATTTGTGGGTGGTGGATGATTGATTGTACTTGCCGAAGTACTTCTTGACACCACCGAGGTTTTACGTCCTCCTTTCCCGTAAACAGACACGACAGACCCTTTCCTGGCATCAGGGACCGGGGAGCTACCTACACTGAGAAGCCCACTAGACGCCTGGCTTGGTCGCCGGTGCCCGAAGTCCAAAGGTCCTAGCTCTTCGAAGCTTGAATTTTGTGAATTTGGACCAGTATTGTTGCCATTTGTGGAACCAACATCACCAGGTGGCTGAGGAGGTCTTGAGCCTGGCTTCGGGAAGTTATCCAGAACATTAGAAGAAACATTGAGGAATTCCAACTTGTTCGCCCACCATATCTCCATGGGAAGTTTCTTGAGATTATTTTGTCTTATATCAAGGTATCGAAGCTCTGTCAAGCACCCAAGCTCCGCAGGAAGACTGCTCAATGCATTCCGAGCTATACTGAAGTACTCCAGTTTGCGTAACTTACCAATCTGGGCAGGTAACGAGACAAAGTGATTTATGTCTAGTACGAGCTTGTTAAGGTTTGGCATTTTGTCAAAGGCAGCGTCAGGGATTGCTGCTAGCTTTGCATTGGAGAGAATGAGTGTTGTGAGAGAGGGAACCGAATTTTTAATCTCAAATTTCGTTACAGGATTTGAGTTCAGTCGAAGGATTCGGATTTTGGCAAACTCACATTCACAAACGGACACTGCATTGTGATCGGCGGAAATTTGTTCGACCTTGGGAAGAGTGGCAATGACATCAATACTCGAAAGCGAATTGTATCGAATGTCAACTTCCTTGATATTCACAAGATCTCCAAAAGAGTCCGGAAGGGAACCCTTTAGCCGGTTGTTTGTGATGACGAATCTCTCCAGGTTGGTAAGTTTACCGATCTCGATGGGAAGATTTGATATTCCATTGAAACTCATGTCAATATCTACCAAACCAGACATATTACACAGGAATTCAGGGAAGTCTTCTAGAAAATTCGACGAGAGATTCAAAGTTCTCATCGACCTGAAGAGGCCAAAATACGAAGGCAGACTTTTGAGTCGATTGTTGGCGAGCTTCAAACTAATGAGTCCTTGTAGTCTCGATAGTTCGGCATGATCCAATTGCTCCAGTCGATTGTTGGAAACATCAAGTATTGTAAGCCGATTGGCTCGACTGAGACTGGCTGGGAGCTTCCATGCTTCATTGTTGATGAACTTGATATCTCTTAAGTTTACACATGACGAAATAAAATCCTTGGGCAAATCAAGGGACAGATTCCGCGACAAATTGAGTGAGATGATTTCTGAAGTCTTGGAGTATAATGCTATCGGAATAGTGATGAGATTCTTTCCTGACAGATCCACATGACTATATTTCTGGACTCGGCTAAGCCCAGTGTCGTTGGAAACCGATGCATAACCGCCTTGCCTAGCCGGAAGAAAGGAAAATCTGCAGAGATAACTGTTGTCTTCCCTTCCCACATCTTCAATTCGATCTCGAGGCTCGTATCCTGCTTGCTCCAAGAGCCTCCTCTGGATGACAAGAGGACGTTCGCCAGGACCAAGGATCCGTTGCAAGTCATGTTTCTTCATTACAATCTGAAAGTTCTCCGGGGTGTCAGCCTGATAAGTCTTCTTGTTGAGCTGGGCCACGAGATCGGTAACGGTAGTGTTAAGCGAAGTTGACAATGTAACGAAAGTTGCGTCCGCTTTGAATATTCTTATGCAATAAGGAATCGCTCTTTCATCTGACTTTTGAGGAATACCTGCTTCATCAATCTCTAGAAGTCGCGACATATTATCGTCATCAACTTTCTTCACAGCCCAGCTGTCTGGCGCATTCCATCCGAGTCCGCCTGCGCTTTCGGCATCTGCCTTTACGTCGTCCTCAACGTGTCCGTTAAAAATGCTGTTGTCAAGTGGAGTTAAAGGTGGCGGCTTTGTCAGGATTCCTTCCATATTTGATAAATTTGTGTCAAGATGGTGGATATTGTCCCCACTGCGATCCATTGTATCGTATGATTGGTCCAAATCCTCTGCACCTCTGTGTCCTCGACCTTTTCGAAATGGCAGCTTGGGAAAAGCGCCTTGTCGTACACCCGTCGGACGAGCATTACCGTTCGTAAGCTGGCTTGTAAGATTGAGCTCTGATCCAGTAATGCTTCCATCTTGGCTATATTGTGCGAGTTCCGGGGAATCGTATAACTTTCCTACATCTGGCCTCGAGGTTTTATTAATTGGTGCCCGACTCGGTGCTGGCGTTTCTTTCAGGCGAGATGGAGTGTGATCTTTGTCCTTGTACCTCATGAATCGACTGGTCAAGTTTAGAAGACTCCTTTTCGGGCCATTATTATTGTCTCTGGGTGATGATGGACTATCGCTATTGCCGCCCTTGGTTGTTTGGCTCCACGTACTCATGCCACTCGGTGTTGGGCTCTTCGGTCGTTGAATAGTAGGATTGGAAGCATTCACCGCAGCCGAGCCCATCGGATTACCTCGGTCCTTGAAGCGCGTGCTGAATGCGGACTCCTCTCTGCTTATGGTCGGTCGTAAGGATCTAGAGTCATCGTTGCTTCGATTTCGTAGATGATGCCCGGGGAGGTGGTGAGCATGTGCAGATTTAGAAGACGAAGAAGTTTTGGGTGGTTTATCGGAGCTATCGTTTATGTAGCGTTCTCTATCAGGGCCCGAAAGATTCTCTCGCACGGGAGCTTCTCCATACGTTTGTATATCCTATACGTCTTAGTTAGCTCCAAGTACACAGTGTACGCTTCAATGCAATGAATGGGGGTCGTCTTTGCCATATCATTCTCAACCAGGGATTGAGAGTCTGTGGAGAAGTAAGAGCGAAGTGACGAAGCGTAGGATTTCATGTCAAAAGCATCAAGAAGATAGAAATCGAGTCGAGAATCAAAAGTAACAAAGTGAAAGATTACTAGTAAAGAATGCTAGTGAAGACCGAATTTACTAACCTGGGAATTCTGATATAAAAATGGAACAACTTCGCTAGATGGCAAGGGTGTTATAGGTCGGGATCCACCTGCTGGGGATGCGTCTCTATTATGTCCGTGATCTGTGGCAGATGAATGATTTCGGTCTCGTTGACTCCGCGCAAATGAATGCGATCGTGCCTCCTTTCCTTGAGGTGGAAGGCTCGTGTCGGATGAACTTACACCGGGAAGGTCCTCGCCAAAGAAACTTGTCAATTTTTTGTGAAGCCCACCTACCACCCTATTGAGACTGGATTTCGATCCAGTACTACTCGCCGTCATTATACTCGCCACCGATGGTCGTCTTTCATCGCCATCGCTAAAGAATGCATCTGCGGGTGAATCGCTCGTATTGGTATTTCCAGTTACCGCCGTTCCAGGTCTCGCAGCCGGCGACAACTGTGAAGCTTGCGACAATGCATCGCTCGAATCATTATAGAAGCTAGTGAATCCATTTGGTGAACCTGTTGCGCTGCTTCCAGTAGACATCCAAGGAGCCATCTGACTTGAAGATGCTATCGCTGTTGGTGGATTATGATGAATTTGAGGAATGCGCCCGCCAGAGGTTTCGAGGACTGCGAGATCACGTCGATAATTGCCGAATTCGGCCATTCTTTGCTCCCGTGGGGATACATTGGGAGATATAGATGATGATGGAGATATTGTGCTTCGAGGACCGGCAGATGTCGGCGAAACTTGAGCATCACTTTCTACCCTACTGCCAGGCACAATCCAAGAAGCCGTTAGTATGGAACAGGTTCAAAGCTTTTGTTCCAGGACGAATAGAAATAAAGATAGAATCTCGAACGGAGGTGCCTAGGTGAGACAACTCTTAAAGTAAAAAAAGATACAGAAATGAATCAAAACAAAGGCTTTCTTTCATATCAATTTTTTCTGCTTACCTTGTTCTATCCGTCTTCACCTGCGTTGAAGGTCCTCTCTTCGTTGATGAACCCTGGAAGAATGGGGATCCTGGGCCTCTTATCGTATCAGTAGATTTCCAACTCCCAGTGCTGGAGCTCGCAGCGGAGCTATTACGATTGGGACCATCTTTTCTGGTCATATTTGACCAGATATATAATTTATGAATTGTCCATTCGCGAAAGGATTATCATGAAGTTGTGATGCAAAGGAGGGGAATGTTTTTGTAGTAATTTTTTTTTTCTTTGGAGGGGTTATTGAGGTGTGAGCATGAGGTGTGAGCGTGAGGGTGATTGTGAATGTGAGTGGGTGTAAATGTAAGTTGGAGTTTTCTAGCTATTTTTTGGTGAACGAGGAGGAGAAGTAGAAAGAGGAAATCGACGGTACTAGGTAAGTTGGAATTTGGTGGTGGGATGAATGATGGACGAGGATAGAATAGGATTTGCTCGTTCAGTGGATCCAGTTATCCAGTCACTACCTAATATGTCATGGCGGATTTGGTACAGAGTAGAGTGAGCATGGGGTCGAGGTGATTAGGCCTAGTCAGGAATTTCGTCAACTTGGTATGCTTTATACAACTTATGGCTCCTTTTCCCCGGATAAGTAGATGGAAAATATTGTACTGTAGCTAGCATTTAATAATAGCTACGATAATATGAAATAAACATACTAATAATAACAGCAAGAAGAGTTGAATCGGGATCAGATAGATGTACTTGTAGGTATTTTGATGATATTCAAAAACACCTAGGGTAAAAGATGATTGTTAGATACAGTTACTGTAGATTTGTTTGTTTATTTGTCTTGTCTGTCTGTTTGATATTTATTTATAACAAATAGAGCAATTGATGAGTATTGAATCAATCACTCTAATATTACATTCGTCAGAGGAAGTATTGTATCATAATGTATGACGAATGGATACTGATCACTTTGTAGTAGAGCAAGCAATACCGCTCGCTACAGGGACACGAACTTCTGAATGATGCAGATCATATGAAATGTATCTATAGTATTTAGGTTCTTTGTTGCATCCAGAGCTGAGAACTGAAGCTCGAGCATTTCGGATCAAAATGATGAATATCAGAATGAATTTGGCCACTTGATCTCTTGTTACAGTATTTCTATTGTGCCCTTTGTACTAAAATTACCAGATATATGGGAATCTTAATTTGGGAATAATTGGTGCTTGTTTTTCTGCTAATTACATATAATTTCCTTATCTATTCCTTGATTAACCAGCGCTCATAAAAGCCAAAAAGTACAAGTACATGAATGATTCTACGAGTAAAATATATATCCATAATTCATATTCGAATTTCTTCATCTAACACCTCCTCATGATAATACAATAGCATATTTCTGTCCTGGGGATCAACAGCCGAAAATGAAGGGGCAATTTGTACAGTAATTCAGAATTCTTTGAAACTCTCGGCTATATCGGAATATGAATGAGACTCCTATTAGTTAATAATATTAGACTTCAAGTCGAAATAATGCGGTTTCAAACCTTTATTAATATTCCAAGAGAACAAAGAAGATATCAAACTTTATTCACCGGTAAAAGCCGATCCGGGAACCCTGGCGTGTATGTATCACGGATAGCTAACATCTATCTTTGATAACAGCTTGTCGCAGGAGGAATCACTGTCACCTTTAGTTCTTGGCTGATGAGTGGTGGAATTGAGTCTATGAGTAACGGATCGGCTACCTGCTGTCTACCGGTACATTAAGACCCCTTTCGAAACATCTGAACCCTTCTCATCTCATCTCATCTCTCTGCTCTCTTGAATTTCATGTGCTCAGTAAGTTGGGCAAATCGGTAACTTACACGTGATTGTGATACTCTGTGACAATGTAACTGCAGAGCGGGGCTAATCCTTGTTGATCCCGATAATCGGCAAAAATCATAGAAAGAAATCAAGCTTGAGCTTTATTACCTACCTATGTAGCTTTCTAGGAGGTACTCGCAGCAAAAGTCAATAACCCCCCCTTTACCCCCCCTCTAAATATATCTAGACCACGAGATAGGTCTTGTGGTCCCGAGTACAGCTATTCAATAACATCTCTCCCGAACAACATAACTCGCAGAGAACGAGTTCAGTTTGGGGTGGATATTTTCCTCCTACACGCATGGAATCGTCGGTATGCTGCGATCATTTTCGCACAATACTACCAAGGTGACAAATTTGATATATGCAGGCGGTCGTTTGCAGCAATGTTCCAAGATACATATACCACCATGGAGACCTGCGTCACCTTTAGATGAGTATGAATATGAAGGTCTTGTCTGAACTTTCGTATGTTTTTGCTAACCATGCCAGATGGGTTGCAAAAGATGCCAGACCTATTAGTCTGCGCCAACTTATGGTCTTTGGACGATCGTTAACTGAAGCACGACTTATAAGTTCTGCGAATTATGTGCGAACAGAGCTTCCCACCAGGTGAGTAAGCCCTGCCACTTCTTCTATCACTCACGTTGACAAGAATAATAGATTGGCACATCGCATACGGGATATGCAAACCCTTCCCTATGTCGTAGTCACCAATCCGCATATGAGTCAAGTCTACGAGTTATACTACAAAGCATTCGAAAGCTTCCGACGTGTGCGCGAGATCAAGACACTGGAAGATAACAACAAATTATGCAAAGTCATTAGCAGTACCCTACAAGAGCATCTCACCGTGATCCCGAAGTTGGCAATGGGCGTGCTAGAATGTCGAGATCTGATGAATCCGTCGGATATGGACAAATTTATGAATACGATTTTGCGATCGAGAATATCGCGACGAGTTATTGCAGAGCAACACCTAGCTTTAACGGAAACCTTTCATTCCGATTGGAATTTTCCCGATGGCAAACCAGTGGACGCGGAGTTCGTGGGTGAAGTCTTCTTGAGGTGCAATGCGAAGGAGGTAGTCGAACGAGTAGGCAGGGAAGTTCAAGCCTTGATGTCAGCCACCTACGGCCCTTCTACAATTATGCCTGAAATACGGCTCGCGGGACACCTCGAAGCTACATTCCCATACATTCTGAGCCATCTTGAATACATAATTGGCGAATTATTACGAAATTCTGTACAAGCCGTCGTCGAAAAGCAAAGAAGTGGTCGAAATACGAACAAACCACCACCGCCCATTGATGTAACAGTCTGCGAAGCTCCCCAACATTTAATAATTCGAGTATCCGATCAAGGGGGCGGTATACCACGAGACATTCTTCCATATCTCTGGGCGTTCAGCAAAGGACCCCGCAGCAACCAACGTCTCGAAAACCTCACCCAAGTCCCCAAGATGGCCGCCACAATGCAAGAACTACGAGTGACCGACGTGCTCCCCGAGTTCCAAGGTTCAGGAACTGTCGGCAATCAAGGTCCCAGCTCCAGCTCCACATCCGCACATGAAACTTCCCTCTCTTCTCTTACTAGCCGCCCTCCCAATCTTCGTTTGGGTATGGGGCTACCCCTAAGTCGCGTATATGCCGAGTATTGGGCAGGGAGTTTGGAGCTGCATAGTCTAGAGGGATATGGCTGTGATGCATTTTTACAGATTTCGAAACTGGGTAATAAGAACGAGCAGTTGACGATGAGGGCTAGTATGGATGCTGTGTAAAAAGACCACGATCTTTTGAATATACCCCGAACGATTTGCGTTGCGCGTGAAGATGGATATTATTAAACCAGACTTACATACCTCCATTGCAAGTTAGGCGTCAAGGTTATATGGGGATTACGGTGTTCGGTATATATGAGCGGACAGACAGTTCAGACATGACAATTACACACCACCGTACAGAGAATAAGTCTCGAGTGATCGAAAGAAGTAGAGTGAACAAAATTATCATGAAGAGGCATGAATTACATCGTGGCTAAAAAACTAGTGGAAATGGAAGCCCCTCATATGAAGCTATTTAGAATTAAGAAGCCTTCTGAACGTTAACTGTCGAAGAAAAAAAAGAAAAACCACAAGTTGCAAAATGACCCGTTTGCAACTCTCTCAGCAGCACCTCCCATCATATCCCCTGCTGCATCCTCACAATCCAATTTTAGATTAGAAACTCCTCTGTGGACGATGCACTGTTTAACGACGACCATGACTGCGAGTCGCAGCGTTACCTTGCATTTGCTCAAGTTCTTGTTCTAGAGATTTGATGGCAGCATGTGTACTCTCCAAATCCTTGTTCAGACGGTCACGCTCGCTGATAAGCTTCTGCTCCCATTGTCTGAAACGGTGCTCCTCGATCTTGACCTGCTCGGTGAAACGCTTTCTCAAACTCTCTTCCTCTTCCTTGAATTTGGGGTTATCAAGTTTCCGAGGTCTAGCTTCACCGAATTTGCGAGTCTCCATCTGCTGGGCACGGTAAGCTTCGTAGTGTGCTTCTTCGGTGGTGTGAATGAGATCGAGCATGTGTGTTCGGATGAGAATCGATCTCAACTTCTTGAAATCGCAGTGATCTTCGTTCTCGACTTCAGCCACACCCCATGCATATTGTCGGCCTTTAACGATACGTCCATCGCTGGTCTTGACATCCTTCTCAGAGCCAATAACTGCAAATGGCATAGCAGCCATCAAACTTCGTGCATGTTGTGCAGCAGCCTCGTCATCTTCCTCGATAGGTGGTGTATAGATCTTGATGCCTTGTGCTTCGATAACAGCTTGGATCTGTGAAAGTCGTGTTAGCTTTGAAATTGATACAATATTCTGGAATATACCATACCTTTTGCTTATAACGGGCCAAATCAGCCGGACTTAAAGTATCAGCCTTAGCAACTACTGGAATCAAGTTCACTCTTGAGCTAAGTCTCTTCATAACCTCAATATCGAGTGGCTTCAGAGTGTGGCCAGTTGGACGAATGAAGTACAAGCAAGCGTGTACACGTAGATCAATCTTATCAACACGGCGAGGCTGTTGTTCTTGCAACATATACGACTCATGCTGATCATCCAAAAACTCAATAATTGGCATCCAGGAATCGCGATTGTTGACATAATCTCCAAAACCAGGTGTATCAATAACAGTCAAACGAACTAAGATAATGTCAACAATGGCCAATTAAAATCCCCAAGAGGGCTGGATATATTGAGTTTCATACCCTTGAAGAATTTCTCTTCTAATTCAGCCTTTGTGATTTCGATCTCGACGGTTTTATCCACCTGCTTCGCGTGTCTGCGTTTGTGATCGGCATAGTTTTTGATTGTGGTAGAGAAAAGGGTATTAATGAAGGTCGTTTTTCCGAGTCCAGATTCACCAGCAACCTACAAGAAAGTAATCAGCATGGAGTAGCAAAAGGATCCGGGAAGAAGAGAGATACATACCATAATAGTGAAGGCAGCACCTCTCTTTGCGACAATCTTGTGTCTTTGATTTGGTAAATTCGCAATCCCGATGGGAGAAGCGCTTTCGGCGGTGGGTGGTGCCATTGTGATTATTATTTTGTTGAAATCAGAGAGAGAGTGTGAGTGAACAGATGGTTAAGAAGAAGAAGGAATGGATGGGAGATGATGCTGTGATATGGTGAGAATTAATTGTTTTCCGATATTGCTGTCGGGGTTGTAGTTTTGGTTGAACGAATGGTAAGGTGGTAGAGTGGTACTTCCTTCAGGAGAATAGTTAACTAGTTAGGTACTGGTTGAAATTCGAGTTACAAGCTGCCCCTGGGGGATTGCTGGTTCCTTATTTCGCCTAGCACCCTAAAAGCCACTTAAAGAGAACTAATAAACGCTAAAACCTATTGGTTGCATATCGGATTATCTTTTCGGATTAACTTTGGAAAAAAATCCCAATCCATGCAATGCGATAAGATTTTGAGCTCAGAAAATCATCCAAAATATTAATATGCCAGTACAACCGTAATAATGAAGACGGAGTTTAAGGTAGGAGACGTATCTCTTGATTTTGTCATTGTTAATTACTAAACCTCAAATAGTTCTCCAATCTCTTAGGGACTGTTTACAGCCAAGGAAACCTTCTATTCAGTCCAGATGGAACATGTCTCTTTTCTCCAGTCGGAAACAGAGTTACAGTTTTTGATTTAGTGAAGTAGGTACCTTCTTTTCAATTAAGCATTCATACATATACTAACAGGTTTCTAGCAATAAGTCACATACACTTCCATTTGCACATCGAAAAAATATAGCAAGATTAGGACTTGCGCCGCAAGGAAATTTACTGCTTTCCGTTGACGAAGATGGCCGCGCGATATTGACCAATGTACCGAGACGAATCGTTCTTCACCACTTTTCCTTCAAGTCGACTGTATCAGCTATATCGTTCTCTCCATCTGGGCGCCATTTTGCTGTAGGAGTTGGGCGAATGATCGAAGTATGGCACACACCTTCAACACCGGACACAAATTCAGAGGGGGAATTGGAGTTTGCGCCATTCGTTCGACATAGAGTATACTCTGGCCATTATGATACCGTTCAAAGTATCGAATGGTCTAGCGATTCACGTTTCTTCCTTAGTGCAGCAAAAGATTTGACTGCCCGAATATGGAGCTTGGATCCAGAGGATAGTTTTATACCTACAACATTAGCGGGCCACAGAGAAGGTGTCATGGGCGCTTGGTTCTCAAAAAACCAGGAGACTATTTACACTGTTAGTAAGGATGGAGCGGTGTTTCAATGGGCATACACACGGAATCCAAATGCTCCAGAGCCAGAGGATGAAGATATGGAAGATGCGGATAATGATTCGCACACACAATGGAGAATTACGGAACGACATTACTTCTTACAAAACAACGCCAAGGTCAATTGCGTGGAATACCACGCCGAAACGAATCTTTTGGTTGCTGGATTCTCGAATGGTGTCTTTGGACTCTACGAAATGCCAGAATTCAACATGATTCACACCTTGAGTATCTCACAAAATGATATTGACTTTGTCACGATTAATAAGTCTGGAGAATGGCTTGCATTTGGAGCTTCAAAGCTGGGGCAACTTTTAGTCTGGGAATGGCAATCCGAATCATACATCTTGAAGCAACAAGGCCATTTCGATTCGATGAATTCTTTAGTATACTCTCCGGACGGACAAAAGATTATCACTACTGCAGACGACGGAAAGATCAAGGTCTGGGATGTGAATACTGGTTTCTGTATAGTGACCTTTACAGAACACACCAGTGGGGTCACGGCTTGTGAATTTGCGAAGAGAGGAAATGTTCTCTTCACATCAAGTCTTGATGGGTCAATTAGAGCTTGGGATTTGATTAGATATCGAAATTTCCGAACCTTCACAGCTCCTACTAGGCTTTCTTTCTCATCTTTAGCTGTTGATCCTAGTGGCGAAGTTGTTTGCGCTGGATCTTTAGATTCTTTTGATATCCATATCTGGTCTGTACAGACTGGGCAATTATTAGACAGACTATCAGGTCACGAGGGGCCTGTATCATCACTGGCTTTTGCGCCAAATGGAGGTGTAGTAGTCAGTGGTAGTTGGGATCACACTGTTAGAATCTGGTCAATCTTCGATCGGACACAAACAAGCGAGCCACTTCAACTTCAAGCTGATGTCCTCGATGTTGCATTCCGTCCCGATTCCCTACAACTCGCAGTCTCAACTCTCGATGGGCAATTGACGTTTTGGTCGGTTTCAGAAGCCGAACAACAATCTGGCGTTGACGGACGAAGAGACGTATCGGGTGGTCGAAAAATAACCGATCGACGAACCGCCGCTAATGCTGGGGGTAACAAGAGTTTCGGCTCCCTTAGATACAGCGCAGATGGTTCTTGTGTTCTGGCAGGGGGTAACAGCAAGTACATATGTTTGTACTCGGTCTCATCCCTTGTATTGTTGAAGCGATTCACTGTCAGCGTCAACTTGTCCCTATCTGGAACCCAAGAATTCCTCAACAGTAAATTATTGACCGAGGGTGGACCGGCCGGCCTCATTGACGAACAAGGCGAAGCATCAGATCTCGAAGACCGCATCGATCGAACTCTTCCAGGGTCAACCCGTGGTGGAGATCCTTCTGCACGCAAGAGACTCCCCGAAGTTCGCGTTGCCGGTGTGGCCTTCTCCCCAACAGGAAGATCCTTCTGCGCAGCTTCCACCGAAGGTCTTCTCATATACAGCTTAGACACCATGCCCCTCTTCGACCCCATCGATCTCGATCTAGCCGTCACCCCCGCCTCCACCATGCACGTTCTCCAAATCGACAAAGACTATCTCAAAGCCCTCGTCATGGCCTTCCGTCTCAACGAAGCACCACTCCTCCGCCAAGTCTTCGAAGGTATCCCCCATCCCAACATCGCTCTCGTCGTCGACGAATTACCTATAGTATATATCCCCCGTCTCCTACGTTTCGTCGCCATGCAAACGGAAGAAAGTCCACATCTAGAATTTTGTCTCTTGTGGGTTCAAGCCATTCTCATTTCGCACGGCCAATGGGTGGGCGATAATCGCATCTTGGTAGACGCGGAGTTGAGGATTGTAGGGAGGGCAGTGGGAAGAATCAGAGATGATCTGAGGAGGTTGGCGGATGAAAATGTTTATATGATTGATTATCTTCTTAATCAACCGGTTGATAAGGGGGTGCTGGATGGCGTGGATGCTCTGATGGGGGGAAATGTTGAGAAAGTTGTAGATGTTAATGATGATGATGAAGAGCCTGAATGGATTGGCCTGGATTAGTTTATACTATGTCATTGAATATCATATCATATCATATGGATGGAAATTTTGAAATTGGGTGTTGTGTTGTGTTAACTCTCTCTCAATTTTTATATATCTCGATGTCTCGTCACATTACTGTACTATATATACACTTGAATATGCATCGCTCTTTCTTTCTTTCTTTCTTTCTGTAGATACCTATCCATCCCAACCACTTCCATTCTATTCCATTCCATTGTACAATAGTAAATCTCTCAACCCTCTCATCCTCTCCCATCCCATCCCAAACCTCATACAAACCTCACAAAAGATATTCATATAATAATAATAAATACCAGTAAATAAATATCAGTATATAAATAGACGAACTCCCACTGGCACTGAGAAATGAAACTTTTCCTCTCTTATATTTATAGATCTAAAAATCGTCTTTAAATTGTCTATCTCGATCACACTTTATAGTCTAGTATAGATTAGTACAGCATAGTATGGTATGGTACTCTACTTTTTACTCTAGTATACTCAGTATCTATATCCATCTATACCTACTCGAGTATTCATATCTATATATCCATATCCATATCAAATTTCCTCTACTCTACTCAACTTGAAGTATGAATCACTGGTACACCAATAATAACTCAGCTTAATTCATTCATTTATTCATTTATACATTTATACATTTATACATTTATACATTTATATCACAGACATTATTATAAACACAACTATACACAAATACATCTATCAATCAATCAATCAATCTACTCGAGTATAATAAATATATCTTTGAAAAAAAAGAAGAAGAGGGAAACCTTACCTACCTAGCCAGCCTACGAGTCGTAACTCGAGTACTAGAGTAATAGCAATTCAGAAAAGGCAGAACAAAACAAAAAGAGTATCCCATTTCCGTATGAGAAGATATCTTATGTATGCCATACCATACCCAACTCGTCCCATAGTATAGATAGGTATAAGTATAGGTAGGTAGGTGGGTGCGTATCAAAATCAAATCAAATCAAACCAACCCAACCTAGCTGAAAAGAAGTACTGGTAGAACAAAAAGTTATTTGAATCATTGAATTTAAATAGAGTACTCGAGTAGAGTAGGGTAGGTAGGGTAGGGTATCCAAAATGCTTTGTACCCAATGCACCCCACCCGCTAGCTATACTATACTACACTGTAACCAAAATGCGATTTAACCAGTCCATATGCAAAATGCGAATGCATGATATGCCTACCCAATAGCATTTATACCATCTATATCCAATGCAATTAAAAGCTGCAAAAAGCAACCAGCTCATTCTCCATAACACCAACGCGATATAAGCCAATAGTCGCCCAATTTGCCGGCAAACCCATAAAGATTAAACAACACCAATCAAATGACGACGCCAAACATCACCCAATTCACCCCCCCTCTCCACCGCCACGATTTTCTCCAACAAACGCCAATCAAGCACCTCTATCCAATCATGTTTCCCATTCGATCTAGTAAGATTCAAACTTTCAATCTGGCGCATAAAAGCAATCATTTGTTCTTTCCGGCCGGATTCCACAAGGGCGATTTTGCGCACTCGCTTGCCGGTGTGGGGTCAGCGTTTGGGGAGGGCTTTGCGGGTGAGGGGAAGTAATGAGGTGATGTATGTGACGCCGTGGGATGGGAGGAGATTGGAGGTTAGCCAGAGGAATGAGGAAATGCAGGGTGCTAGGATGAAGAGGGTGTTGTGGAAATGACAGGTGGGTGTTTGTGCGCATTCTGCCGCTGCCGGGGAAGATGCTGGTGGTGAGAGGGCTTGGGGACTTGGATTCCTGTGGGGTTTTCCGGGGAGATTTCTGAGTGTGTCGAGTGGATGACTTTTGAGGAGATTTGATGTTGCTAGAGCTTGGTGGTAATGGTTTTTGTGTTGCTTTCTGTGTGGCGTTCAAGGAGGAAGCTGTAGATTCAGACAAGGGGAGAGAAGACCTAGTTGATGAAGGCGAGACGAGTTGAATGGACTCTGCAGGCTGCGCGACCGACAGACCTGAAATGGTTTGGTCTTTCGAAACGGGCAAGGTCTTCTTAGCCGTTTGCGGAGGAGCATGGGCTACGATTATACCCGTCTCACCACACCTTCGAATGGGTACCAGATCTTTGATATTGAATTTCGCAGTCACCTGAAGAGATCGAGGGAAACTCGTATGAAATGCTGAAAGTGCCACATTATCTGGAATGACGAAGCCAAAGTCTTTAAAAATCATACGCGTGAGCCATTTGGCTTGAGAGCCTTGAAGTCTCAAGTATATATTTTCAAGACGATCGAGAGAGTATTTATCTCGCTTAGCAAGGGACTTGATAGCTTCTGAGGAACCCTCATTCTGAGCAGCAATGATGATTAGAGTATCCTCGATTTCTTCTACTGTGACCTTTTTGTATTCGAAGATTGCTTTCTGTCATAACTTTTTAGTAAAGGTATTCGGTAGTTTTGAGCAGCACATGAAGGTTCCTCGCGAGATACTTTACGCAATCCAATTATAAGTCCATTCATGGAAAGTTCTGAGGACTGTCATAGTCTGCGCTCGCAGAGAGATACTAACCTGATCCCGCCCCATCTTCCTCATGATCCTTTCTACACGATAACCAAGATCATTCCTAACTATATTATTACAACCACCTTCAGCACCCGATGGCACCGACAGGTATGGTCCATCCTCTGCATATTTTTTGAAATCCCCACGTAGCTCGACATTCATACAAAAAGTTCTGGCAATAAAGCGTTCAAAAACTACTTCATTTAAATCGTAATCTCGATCATCCAGCGCCTCTGTCTTAAGTGTGAATAAAACCGAAGGATCGTCTTTATGCATAGCATCTAACGCGTCCCGATTATGTCTGAACCAATTGATCCATACATCACTTACTTTCTGATGGAGAATCGAAGGAAGTAATGGTATTGTTTTGCAGTACAATGCATCGAGCTGGTCAAGAAGTCTGCATATAACAATGAATGGAATGCTCTTCATCGTAGGACAAGTATATTATGCAAATGTACTCGAGTATAAGATGTGCTGATGCTTAAGAGGATGGCGAAGAAAATGAAGTGTATGTTTTGTAAAAGAGTATGGTTGCAGTTGTAGAAAAATGGAAAGTGTACTGGTATGTGATATTTCTTTGTTACTCATTAGTAGGAGTAGGAGTCGTGTAGGACTCTTGACGAGATGGTTTCAGTCGGTCATTATAAGCTCCGATGTTGATGTGCACGTTCTTGCTGCTTTTGACTTGTTTTCCCCTTTTACCCTCACAAGGCCCAGAACTTAATTCATCCCAATTCAAATCACAGTTCATCCCATTATTACTTCAAGGGTTGTCTGAGACTGAGACCAAAACTTATTCAAATCCCCAGGAATTACTAGGATATTCGTCACTTCAAATCACAGTTCTGTTCACCTAGGCAACCCAAGGATTAGACAAACCTAGACTCTCTAAGCAGAAAACATTTACTCGAGTACTCAGTACTCGAGTAGAATCTTTCCTTCTCTCCTCTCTTCTCTCTTTACTCTTTACTCTTCTCTCATAACAAAACTCCATATTGGTACTCACACCTTTTCAACACTTTCAGTTATCTTGCATGATGTTTATGATCTCATCTAATTTATTTCTCTAAAAATAAATCTAAAAATATCTTCGACTCGAATTCTTATTCCTTTATTCATATATTTTTTCATTGTTCGCTTTCATCCTGTTTTTGTTATTCATAGACATATCGGTTCCCCTATTCGAGTACTACGGATGGATGCATAACGACGATAACATAAACACAACATTGAATCCTCATTTGAAGAACTACTTATTTTCTACTATCCTGTGATTTTTATATATATACTTATTCTCCTCGATATGCACAATGGGTTCTATTCACAATCGAACAACTTCTATTGATCGCGCTTCTGTTGAATCAATTCTAGCAGGGGCCGATCAATATACTGACGTACCAAGTCCCCATATTGGTACTTCACCCAATAGAGTAAATTTCTCTGCAAACCAACCACCTCGACCCATTGTACGACCAGATCGTGCACTTTCCTATACTTCAAAAAGACCAAATCGTCTTTCACTAACCTTTCCCGTTGCTCCAAGCAATGGTCTCGAATCGGCCAGAGCTACTCCGACATCGTCAAATGCTCCATCGATTCCTGGCACTCCCGCAGATCCAAAAGTTATTCTATCACCAAATGATTCAAATGGTTTCCTTGTTGCCTTGGCTAGTCAGGAGAGAAGGGTTTTCGAACTCAAGGAGGAACTCGAAAAAGCCGAGGGCGAACTTAAGCAGTTGAAAAAACAATGGGCACTTCATGAAGCAACAAAGAAGAGAGCGGAAATTCGACATGTCGAGAAACTTCAACCTGTACAGACAGAGCGCGGGTCTGTCGATGAAAACAAATTGACGACTCCAAAACAAAGCATGGATATGGAGCGAAGGAAAGCTTTCCTTGCCAATCTTCCTCACCTGCCGAAAGATCAGAAAAATCCACGAAGGAAAATCATCACAGGTGGTCATACTCGTACCCTTTCGCTTCTATCTCCCGACAGGATGACACACAATCCTACTCTCAACGAATTGAATGGCACAACCCCAATCGAAGGGCTATCAAGAACCACAACTATGCCAGACACAAGTATTGGTATCTCCAGAGTCAACACAAACCGAGCGAACCGACATTCATACCAAGGAGGAATGGGAGTAACACATGGAGTGAAGCAGATCACACAAGATGTTAAGGCTGGGTTATGGACTTTTTTGGAGGACCTGCGCCAAGCTACAGTAGGAGATGAAGCCGTCAATGGCACAGCAAATCAACGATCGAGCTTGGATGCAACACAACGCGGGCTCCACAAGCGCGTTAGTAAAGGCAGCTTGAGGGTACGACGAGGGAAATCACCCAGACCGGATCCATCATCACAAAGAACGTGGGACTCATTGACCGGTGATAACTCTGCCCTCCTAGATCTAGGGGGTGCATTATGGCAAGACTCTGAAACTCTTGCTGCACCCATGAAACCCACGAACGTTCAAAAGAAAAGCGCCCGACCAAATTCTTTTCCCACTCCCACCCTTGACGACGACGATTGGCCCAATTGGGATTTTCCCACACCCAAATCACCCATGCGATGGAGCGGCAGCTCCACACTATCCGGTCCAGCGACGCCCGGAAACACGAGCGGCGAAGATGAAGTAAAGTGAGAATTTATTACTGTGCGTGACCAAGAAATCATTCACTAACAGATATACTCACATAGCATTCTCGACCAAAACCACCCACCCGACTCGCCCTCAAGAAGGGATGAGATTCAATGGCCCGCGCTCGATCAATTGACACCGGGTAATCTGAAGAGAACCGTATCGACAATCATGAAGGAATGGGAGAAGAGTCTCACTCCGCCCTCGGAAAAATCACAATCTGAAGATTTACTCACGGGTTCTCCTCGTGTTAATGGAGGACGGGAACGAGAACGAGAGGGTAGCATGGCTGGGACTGAGGTGCAACATCCTCATGTGTAGAGTGGCTAGCACGAGCATCTTATAATGATGTTTTCGGCATGTAATATATGGAATGGAAATGGAATGAAAAGGGTGAAAAGGATGGGGGCTAGTTATTGAGATTGATTGTTGCCTTTTTACTCGGGTACAGTACCTAGATAGACCAGACGTTTTTTGATCTGATGATAGATGATGTTGATGAAGGAATGAAATAATTTTATTATATATACTCTGTTCTGTTCTGTTCTGTTCTGTCCATATTTGATAAACCTTCTCGTCTATAATGCAATTTTTGAGGTGATGATACAGATGTCCCAAATGCCACATTCTTTTTATATGTCCAAAATGCAAATTCATCCATCCCATTTTTTGATTCTTCTCCCTCTCCCAATCGGAAGTCGAATTCTCGTTCCTTAAGTAGAGTATATAGTACATACGAGTACTTGCACAGAATATTCACAGTCACATCCACACCTCGTCCTACTTCACCCCACAACAGTTCCCTCAACTCCATCCACATCACATGGCACCACACAATCCAATACTTCCAATACTCAAGCACCACCAACAACAACACCATTTCCCTCCCCCTCCACCGCCACCTCTTCTTCCACCACCTTCCCCTCTCCATCTCCATCCCCATAAATAAAAAACTGCACAAAAACCCCCGCATCCAACAACAGCGTTCCCGCACTCCCCACAATCCAACTCGCATTTACAGCTACATAGCGTATATACTGGAAGCGGGCTTCGCCTTCCTCACATGCATCGTGGCCGTGTTTAGAAGTAGTGAGACAGGGGGCTTCATAAGCGAAGATGGAGAGCACGTAGGTGAGATTACCGATACAGGCGAAGAGAAAGAAGAGCATGGAGATCCCCTGGGTGGATTTGCGACGGTGGTTGAGGAGCAGTTGGGGGATGCGGGAGCTGAGGTAGAGGATGGCGCAGAGGTAGCCGAAGGTTTGGCCGAGGGGGGAGAAGGTGGGGGTTGTGGTGTGGGTGGAGGGGTGGTGGGACCGGGTTTGGTGTGAGGAGCGCGAGGAGATGTACCAGCCTATGATACCGGCGATGCAGACGAGTAGGATGCTGAGGAAATTGAAGAGGAAGGTTTGTAGTGGGGAAGTGGGTGTGGAGGGTTTGATGGTGGGGGAATCGCTGGGTTTGCGGGGTTCGAGGAGCGGGACCACGGGGGAGAGATGTTGGGCGGAGATACTACTGCGGCGGCGTTCTTGGTGAGAGAGCAGCCCGGTGGTTTCAGTAGGTACGCTTGTACCTGCTGCTATGGCGGCGTAGGTGGGCTTGGGTGGGGTGGGTGGGGTGGGTGGAGTAGGCGGTGGCTTGACTTCATCGCGCCAGGTGAAGCCTTTGTAGTAGAAACATTGGCCTAGGAGAACTACGTCGGCTATGGTGTAGTAGACGGCGAGGATAATCTGGGGGTGTTAGTATTGAGAATATTGTGGATTTCATGGAAGGAAATCTACCATCGTAGGAAGAACGCCCTGAAGCATGGCGCCCCAAATATTGAATACATCACCAGCAAGCCATATAATAATGAATTGTAAGGATAATCCATCAGCCTAATCAAAAGGTTAGTAAATTGCTCAATCATCCTTTATTCTTTTGTTGAACCCCCAAGACTCATCTTTCCAAATAGAAACCCCACAGAACTAATATACAAATAAAAGTACTCACCGAACCTCGTCTCCAATTCTCAATAATCTGAGGACTAAAAACTACTATCCAACACGCAATTGATATTGACCTATTTCCCCATCAGCATATTCCATCATATCCAAATCTCCAAGCCACAACCCCATCAATACGCACCCACAGATTCCAGAAATGGCTGTGATATCCAAATTCAGATTTTGAGTTGGCGGAACCATCTTTGCTTCTTTCTTTCTTTGTATATAAAAACAATTTCCTCAAAACCTAACTGGGAAGATTGTATTCCAAAATGTATATACACAATGGATTCCCTAAACCTCTCTTTCTCTTTATTTTTCTCTTCCTCTTTCTTTTTCGAGAAGTACTCGACTCTAGTGATAGACTCCAATATGATGCGAGTGTGGCGGTCTACCAAACTTTATACTCGAATAGTAATAACACAAAGATTTGTATCAACAATTCCGAGCAAACTTTTCGATATTATTTTACTCTTACTACCAAGAATTTGGATATCTCTTAGCAAAAGAGCAACAGATGAAATATAAAGTGAAGGTCCAAATCAAAGTTGAGAAGAGTTCGTTTTTCCGTGATATATATTTGGAAGATACTTTCTTTCGAAAGCAAGGTCTTGTACCTCATTTGACTAATATAATCACGTGATGCGGACACTTATCGATCTGGCTACCTGTAGTTTTGATTGGATCTTCGGGAGGAACTCGGGAATGGAAAAGAACGTCGTCATAAATCGCTGTGTGGAGAATTTCAACCTCCCTCAGCATCTATCTTTTGAGTTGAGTGGGTCGAAATATGATATCTTATTCTTTCATCGGGGGTTTCGAAATATGATATAAGTTTCACAGCCATTCATTATACTAATCTAATCTTCTTAAAGATGACTCCGGTAACCAGGGACTACACATCTAATTGATGAGTTGGTCATCAAATCACAATGCGTTGGCTTAGAAATCCCGATTTTAGATCCCCACTATTCACTCTCTACGTCTTTCATGTATATCTACTCCCTACTCCCTCCCTAGTTTGATAACTAACCTTACTTGTACTCCAAAACATATCTTTAAACAAACACATCCTCTCCTCATCCATCATCCCTCATCAGCACCTCCATCCCCTACCCTCCCAACCCAACTATGCCCCAACCCCAACTCCCACTCCCCGCCCACCCAAACCTCGACTCTATGCTTAGCCGCACATTCGGACGCGAAGTTGCCAACTACTTCAGCGGCTCTCCCCTAAACCGCGTCTCCTTTTTACGCACCAACCATGAGTTTATATCGCAAGCCTTCGTCCACCCCACCACCAATTTTCTGCTTTTGAATAACCTGGCTCCTCTCACTACCGATCCTAGTCACCTAGCTTATGCATCACACAGCGATATAAGCGGGATCACCGGATCCAACCCCTTTGAGAAAACAGAGGCGGATATGATTCGGGAATATAATTCTTCGGTCACGTTACCTTTGGTGTTATTTTTGGGGTTGGATGAGAGGAGTAAGGGGGGTTTTAGTCATGGTATTTATACGGGAGTGCCGTATTTTGCAATCGATGTGACGCCCAAGGGATCCTATGAGAAGGAGGCCAATGGTGTGGTGGCAGCTATGCAGGAAAAAGGATTACAGTTTCAAGAGGGCAGAATGCTCATGAGTTTAGATGCACAAGAAGCGGCGATCTTTGCTCAGGCGAGATCAATGCTGGATTGGAATGCTAGGAATCCTTTTTGTGGTGGGTGTGGACAGCCTACTCTATCTGTAAGTCTATCTGAATATTAAAAACTCCCATTTCCAACAATATCAAAAGCTAAAACGAATCCCCAGATCAACGCAGGCACCAAGCGCGTCTGTCCCCCCACAGATTTTGCATCCCTGCCCACCGCTCAAGCAGCAACAAACCCCGCAACCCCCAACGAAAGAGCCTCCTGCGCGACCCGCAAAGGAGTCTCCAATCTCTCTTTCCCACGAACCGACCCCACGGTCATCATGGCCGTCGTCAGCCACGACGGCAAAC